AAAAGGAAATACATCTCTTTTCAAAAATAATTAAAGTAAATGACTTTATTCTTGAAATGTTTAGATGGTGGTGTAACTACCATCAGAATTGATTAAAACAATTTTAAGAAAATATTGTAGAACTTGTACCTAAGCCTGTAGCAAAAAAAATTGAGTATTTTTTATCTGTGACTTAGATAATCGACAGGCATTCGCTGGGAAAGCAATTTAAAATTACAATAATTGGATGGGATATAATCAGTCAGGTAAAACAACCCTTAATGCCATTGCTGTAAATGTCAGGAGTGGACGAGCATACTCAAATGAAAAACGCATGATCAGTAAAGCCTACTACATTTGAGACACAGTTGTAGTAGAGTATACCCAGTTTAGTGGAGGTAAATTAGGCCCTTGATACAAAGGACCGTTTAAGATAACGGCTTGTTTGCCTAACGAGCGCTATGCAATGATGGTTCTCGTTAGGCTATTCTAGGTCCCTGTTATGGCAGGCTATATTTAAAGGTCCCTGTTATGACAGGCTATATTTAAAGGTCCCTGTTATGACAGGCTATATTTAAAGGTCCCTGTTATGACAGGCTATATTTAAAGGTCCCTGTTTAACAGGCTATATTTAAAGGTCCCTGTTTAACAGGCTATATTTAAAGGTCCCTGTTATGACAGGCTATATTTAAAGGTCCCTGTCTAACAGGCTATATTTAAAGGTCCCTGTTTAACAGGCTATATTTAAAGGTCCCTGTTTAGCAGGCTATATTAGAGATCCCTGTGTATCAGGCTATGTTAAAAAGTCCCTGTTTAGCAGGCTATACTTAAAGGTCCCTGCGGGGCAGGCATAAACTGATTTTATTTTAAGGTTTCTGATTCAACAGGTTATACTTAAAGGTCCCTGCGTGGCAGGCATACACTGATTTTATTTTAAGGTTTTTGATTTAACAGGTTATACTTAAAGGTCCCTGCTAGGCAGGCATGTACAAGGTCCCAAACCTCTGGTTTAGGCATATTTTTACGAACATAAACTTAGGTTATGTAAAACGTCAAGAATTTATATTGTGGTTAAGTTACTTTTATTTTGGAAAGTTGGATCCTTAAACTAGTTTTGTTTAGCCTTAATCCCTCAGAGGTTAATATGGCAAGCCTTGAAATGTTTGTTTTGCGTTGATGTTGTAAAAGTAACTGACAGTAAAATCAGTTAAGGAAATTTTGTCTTCAAGATTAATTCAGATTAATTCTGATTTGTTCCCCGAATATATTTTGAACAGTAAGTGTTCTGAAATATTTACAGATTACCGCTGTCAAAGTTTACACGCTGTCATGTGTTCAAACTGCAAACGGTGCGAGGACACCCCGACGTCAGGAAGGCCGTGATAGCTGGCTTCTCTAAATTACGTCAGCTTACGACACCTGATCTGAGACCGCCGCAGCGTGGCCCTTCTTCGAAAAACAAAGCTGGAGCAATATTGCGAATGTTGCATCATTCTTATAAGTTTAGTCAGTTTAGATCGACTTTCGAACTATTCACGTATTTCTAAGCGGAATAAAACGTATTTTGAGGAATATAGTGGTTTAATTTAAGTAAAAAGACTAATTATCTGTCCCTAATCTAACATTTATTTACTTACTATAGTCTCTCTTTTACTCTTACTATAGTGCCAGTGATCAATTTAAACTAATATAATTTCACAAAAATCATACAGAAAAAAAGATTTTCGGCATTTTTTAACAATCCGACAACATCGAACGAGAATAAAATTCAAAATCTCCACGCGACCGAAACTGACCAATCACGATCGAGCATTTTTTGCTCTTGGATGCATAAAATAATTAACAACAAAAAAAAAAAAAATTATTAAAATTTCAGTAGAATATGCTTCTTAAATGTTTAAAACATTTGCTTTTATTTGTATTTATTCCCTCCAGTATATATATAAAATATCATACAAAACTTATTTGTATTGAAATTATCTGGTACGAACAGGGTACGAACATAATTAGATAAACTATGAAATCATGCATTTCTTTTTATTTTAATAAATTATTAAGAAACAAGTGTTTTGTAATTCCAATAAATGTCCTTTAGTTTTATAAGAAACCACCCTATATAGTTATATAGTAAGAAATATGAGATTCATATAAAAAAATTGTAAAAAATATATTTTATATATTTTAGGCTAAACGTTGACGACGTTGACAGCTCTTACCGGATGTATCTGTTCAACTTTTGACGCCACAATTTTCAAATTTGAAATTTAATTAAACTGAAAAATCCTTTATTAAAATTATGGGTTCTCGTGCATAATATGTTTTTGATATATAGTATTACATAATGTTCTTTGTCATTCCCATTTTTTTTTAAACTACGCATTTGCAAATGTCTTGTTCTCGTTGTTTAATTTTAGAAAGGTAAACATATAGTTATTATAATTTTCAGATACATTAGTCAGGAAAAGATCTACTAGAATTTATTTTTTTTGTCTTGTTTTTGAAACCCTTTTTTTCACATCAATAAAATTTTGTTTTGATTTTTAAATGTCTGTATTTGTCATGCTATTCTAAAAGACTGGGAATTATGGAGGATTAAAATCAATTTTTAAAAAACTTTTTGTTAGAAAATGTCATTATAAGTGTTTCTCTTTCTCAATTTGTATATAGTACCTTAAAGTTTTGATGTCCTGCAAGGTGTACCAGACACTATTTATCCTTTGTGTGGTTATGTATTAACATCATATTAACATTTTTTACCTCTATAAAAATAAAATGTTAATTTTTTTATATCAACTCGGAGAAAAACTTAGACAGAGACGAAGAATAAGTTCACAGAAATTCTCATAGATGGCGCCAACGCAGTATTAGTTTAGCTTTTGATACATAGAGGGCACCAGAATATGCGTTAGTTCAGAAAGTAGTAAACAGATGTCGCTATAATATTTTTTGTACCACTATCACAACATAGGTGGCGCTCGAGATATAAAATATAGGAATCTGTTTGTCGGTAAATAAATAAAATGCGCCATCTATGAACGTAAAATTAAAGCATTAATTTAAAAATTTGCTGAAAAAGCTGCTAACATTCTTTTAGAGTTAAATAAAGTAAATATTTGAATAAATTAATTTTTAATATATACGATTCTTAAAGATTCTTTAAAACGATAACCAACAAGGTAAAATTATTTTGAGAAATAGAGATATTCATATAAAAAGTTGGTATTTCGCTAAAAACTCAATAACTTAGTTACCTCCATTTTTTTTAGTTTTATATTGACTACTGTATATGATTAGTTCCAAAAATTAGCTACAATCACAGATAACATATAACCATGTCTAAAAGAATAATTCTATATTCTGTGCTAAAACACAATGTTATCTGTGCTATAAATCAGGGGGAATCACAATAAAAGTAGTGATTAATTAAAAAAAGCGTCATACTAAGCATAATGGAATGAATAAGAAATAAATAGAAAAAAATTGAATTTAAAAAAAAAAACAGTTTTTTATTTTTAATAAATTAAAGAAAATACAGTCCCATACAGGGTGACTGTTAAATAAGTGTAAATATTTTTAGAGGTGGTATATATGTATCGACCCCAGAACACGTCTATGAGGCTTTTTGCGCAAAAAAAAAAAAAAAAAAAAAAATTTCTTTTTAAATTTTCCTGTATATTTTAGAAAAACTTTTTGGAACTGCACGTCCACCGCAATTTTCCCACGGTATAATTTCTTAATTTCTGATATACCATACGATGGAAAAAAACGGCGTCAGCGATGGCTATGAAATAAAATCGCTGTCATTTCATTACGTAAAATGAAATGGGGAATGTGCTCAGAGTGGAATGTCATTGATGTTCATTTCCAAACCAACTGGACGCCGTTTTTTTTTCGAACATACGTATTACTATGGTTACAGCTTTACTCTATAGTTACGACACTAAAATAAGGGATTTAAATACAGAAAAAAAAAAAAAAAAAAAATTTTATAATTTATTATGTTAATTTATTAATATTGGCACCTTATTTAAGACATTCTGCATATATTATTTTAAGTTCTTGTTTTAAACTTGGCGAATATAACTATTTGATAGAAATATATTTATTTGATAGAAAATTACATTCCAAATAAAATTAAGCTTTTTAACATTTTCTCTTAAAAATAGTAATTTAAATTTCAATCTAGAGTGCCATGGCTAAATGTTAAAAACACTAATTTTTAATTAAAGAGCCAGATAAACAAGTCATAGGAGTGAACCACATTTAAAAAACATCCGGTGTAGGTCATATTATATCAATCAAATTGTATATTAAATTATATAAAAAACATGCATTCATACCGAAATTACTTATCTTAATACTACTAATTACTATTATTATCAACTATATTACTCCAAAAAAAAGAAGAGTTACAAAAAGAAGAGTTAAGAAGAGGATAAAAGAAGAGTTACCTCAGTTTTACCACAGGTCTTACTTTTTACATTTTTAAGCCTGTTAATTTCAAGAATTTTATATTTTTTAATAGGCGCATTCACCATTTCGCTGCGAATACTTCTTTGCGTTTTCTGAAATGCTTTTATAATTTATATATATATAGCTGTGCTGATAGAATATAGCATGGTATATAGTAATATAGTAAGATATGGTAAGAATATAGTAAACAGAGTGTTGGCATAACTCGTCCGTTAGAGACAAAAGTTGGCCTGGACATGGTGAATGACAACGCCAATTTTTTTCTCAAATCAGTATGTTTTTCTATTCAAATTCATAGTTTAGGCAATAATACTTATAGTAAAATAGACAACTAGGTGTATTATGCTACAATATTAGACCAATAGCGAGCTCCGTATGATCGAAACGGCGTCCAGTTGGCTGGGAAATGACAATCGCTGATATTTCCCATATAATTTTACATATAAAATGACAGCGATCTTCATTTCATAGCCATCGCTGACGCCGTTTTTATTCGATCATACGGTAGTATTGTTTATGCCATGAAAAAACGGTTATTTTTAAAAAAAATTGTTTTTTGCAGTAATATTTACAGAATATTTACCTTTAATTACTTGTTCAACAATGTTTGCACTATATCTTCTGCTGTTTCAATAAACAATTAGCCAATCATTGTCCTTTGACTGCTTCTTATTCCATTAACCATTTCATTAGACAACCCTCAATAATTATGGAGTCCTACAAATAAAGATACTATAATATCTAAATAATAACATAAGAGTTTTTTTTTTTATTATGGGAAATGGAGGGAAGGATAAATAACCTTTAATAATTTTCCTTATATTACTCTTCACCATACTATGAAATAGGTAGTTGCTCTCGTCTGTAAGTTAAGATATTTAACTTAAATAATTCATGTTGTTTTATGTAATAAAATAGATATATAATACACAGTTGGCTTTGGTTTGGATATCTAACCTTTTAAAGAAAAAAAGATTAAATCATAAAAATTTAAAGAAATATTTAATAAATTATACTTTCTGGAAATACTTTTTTTTAAACAAAAAAAAAAAAAAAAAAAAAAAAAAAAAATATATTTAAAACAAATTGAATGTATATTGTTATGACATTAACATGAAACGTAACTTCAAAAACGTGACATCTAACAAATTATTAGTAATCGACGTTCATTTTTGTTGGTAATTTTTGTTTCAATCTGGATTTCAATAATAAATAAGGATGGTGTTATTCTAAATGGTATTAAAATAATACTATATATTTGTATTTAAGTGTGCTTTCAAATACAAATTTACAAGTGTCGCAATTCATGCAATACCAAATTTATTCTTTCCATACTTCTGCCAATAAAGCAACTGTTTATTTATATTGTAATAAAGTGTAAGAAATCTTTACCTGTTTGATGGTCCATCATTCGATTTGCAAATACAAATAATTCCGGGATGATTTCAGTTAATTTTGTGAAGATATTATGTAACATTTTGCCTTTTTTGTTAGAAAACAATTTTTATTTTAATTCCATTGTTCAAAATACGTTGCGCCATCTATATGAGAAATGTTAAAGGTTATATGTAGAGTGACAGTTCATTGTAAGAAAATCTCAATAACCTATGTTTCATTAGTTTTTTAGTTTGTTTTTATTCATCTTTCACTTTGTTTAAATAAATAGTTAAAGCAAAAACTCCAGATTTAGTTTCCACACCCAATAGGTTATGGGACCAGATAACAGAAGGTGTTTTACACTAGAACGTATTTGTTTGAAAAAGTAAAGAAGTTAAAACGACTAGGACGAACTTTTGCAGAAGATTGTTGGCACTTTGTCACAAAATGGCCGAGGTGCAGTTAGCATTTGATAAACTGGCAGGGAGGGAGAATTATAATAACTGGAAGTTTGGCATGAGAATGGCTTTAATACACGAAAATCTATGGAAAAGCATCGAAGGTTACCAAGCAGATGACCAATTAAAAGAGTCAGAGAAGAAACGATGTGATGAAAAGGCTTTAGCAAAAATCTGTTTAATGATTAAACCTATAGCTTATACACATGTAAGGTCAGCCAAAACAGCAAAAGAAGCATGGGATAACTTACAGAAGGCTTATGAAGATCATATATTTGTCTTAGGGGAGGTTGAATCTCATAATGTAAGATTAGTTAGGAATTAGATTAGAAAATTATTCTACTATGGAAGCTTATGTAAACGAGACATTGTCTATAGCACAAAAATTAGCTGATATGGTACCAAACTAGTCGACGCATGAAACTAGGTGTTATAATGCTAAGTGGATTAACATCTGAATATGATCCGATGGTAATGGTAATAGAAAACTAAAATGTCAAAATCACAAGTGATTTCGTCAAGGCAAGATTGATGCAAGATGACAAGTATGGCAAGGACAATAAGGAAAACATGAGGACCTATTTTCTAAGAAAAGTTTCAAAACAAAAGAAGAACATAAAGTGTTTCAAATGTGGATTGTCAGGACATTACAAAAATCAATGTAAGAAGCCAGATGCAGAAGAAAGCAGACACAAGAGTCAAACAGAGATGAAAAATGTAAAACAGAAAAGCTTTGTAAACTGTTCTTCAGAGAGATGAATCAGGAGATATACAACAAAATTGGTATATAGATTCAGGAGCAACAGCTCATATGACATTTCAGAGAGAGTTACTCTACGATTTTCAAGAAAAATCAGAATCACAGGTCATTGTAGCGAACAATGAGAAAATGTCAAGTGAAGGCGAAGGAAAAGCTAAAGTAAAACAACAAAGGTGAGGAAAACAATAACAAACATTGTTTATATACCCAGTTTCCAAGGTAAATTCTACTAATAAAAGTAAAATGGTAGAAAAGGGGCACACAGTAGTATTTAGCTCAGAAGGTTGTCATATTTACGATTCAGAAAATTTCAAAGCTACTGGTGAAATTGTAGTTACAGCAAGCAATAAAAATGGACTCTATAAGTTAGATTTAACTATGGAACAAGCTTATTTAACTAACAGTACAAATTTTCAAGACCTTTGGCATAAAAGACTTGGTCATTTAAATCATTATAGCATGAATTTGTTAAAGAATGGAATGGCTACAGGAGTTGATTACAATTATGAGAATACGTAACTGAACGAAGTACCGGAAAA